AGAGCCATAACCTCCCTATCGGCCCTGCCCTGAGTGTGAGAGTGGCGGCGCCCAACCCCCTGATCGGCCCTGCTCTGTGGGTGATAGAGGGCGGCCCCCCAACCCCCTGATCCACCCTGCTCTGTGTGTGACAGGGGGCGGTGCCCCAACTCCCCTATCGGCCCTACTCCGTGAGTGACAGGGGGAAGCTCCTCAACCCCCTGATCCGTCCTGCTCTGTGCGTGACAGGGGGGAGCTCCCTAACCCCCGATCGGCCCTCCTGTGTGTGTGACAGGGGGGAGCTCCCCAACCCCTTGATTAACCCTGCTCTGTGCGTGACAGGGTACGGAGCCCCAACCCCCTGATCGGCCCTGCTCTGTGCGTGACAGGGGGTGGCGCCGCAACCTCCCCATCGACCCTGCCTTGAGTGTGACAGGGGGCGGTGCCCCAACCCCCCAATCGGCTGTACCCTGAGCGTGACTAGGGGTGGCATCGTAACCTCCCGATCTGCCCTGCTCTGTGCATGACAAGGGGCGGCGCCCCAAATCCCCAATCGGCCCTGCTCTGAGCCCAACCAGGGGCTGCACCCAGGGATTGGGCCTGCCCTCTGCCACCCGGGAGCAGGCCTAAGCCAGCAGGTCATTATCTCCTGAGGGGTACCAGACTGCGAGAGGGCACAGGCCGGGCTGAGGGACCCCCCCTTCCCCCCCCCCGAGTGCACAAATTTTTGTGCACCGGGCCTCTAGTTTATTATAATGAACTATGCATTTTCACTCACTGTCCTGCATTGCAATTTCTATGCCAGTATCATATTATTAACTATTGGTGGTTCTGGAGGTTTTAATTTTACTTACCTCTTTTGCACCAGATTCTTTCAGCAATTTGATTATGGGTGAGATGGTATTGCCTCTCACAATTGAATCATCTATAAGAACAATTCTTTTGCCCTTAAAGTTGTCCGACAATACTCCAAATTTTTTTGCAACACCAAGTTGTCTTAGCCTCATGTTTGGCTGAATGAAGGTTCTTCCTACATACCGATTTTTACATAGTACCTCCACATATGGAAGCCCACACTGATAGAGAATAAATAAAAGGATAATTAGCAGCAATATACAGGAAACTTTAGGCTTTTATTTTCTCTAGGTCATTTTTCAATATGTACATAAAAATTTTAAATGTGGTTGTTATTCTGAACTCTCTATTATGAGATTACAATTTTCCTCTATTATTTAAACTGTAGAGGAAAAATACAAAAAAAAAATCAGTGAAAGTAATATACTTAGTGGGAAAACCAATTCACTTTATTAGAATTTGTAATGCTTCTCTCTTAAATATTATTATTTCTTTATCTTGGAAGAGAACACTAAGCATGTGAAGACATGTCAAAGAATAAATCACTGTCATTAAAACTAACATATTTAAAAATTATCAGAAAGAAATTAAAACCAATAGGCTAAGGAAATGCTTTTTGCAGCATTTCTCTATCTTTCAGGCAAAACTTCTCTAAAATCTGTGCACATTATTTCTTTAAAAAAATTAATGAACTAAGCTTTCCAACATAGTGTTGAGTATTATATCCTAGGACCACTATCTATTATAATAAAAGCGTAATTTGCTAATTAGACCAGATATCCTTCCGGACGAAGCCGGGCTGCGAGGGAAGTCCAGGTCCCAGATGCCTGCCAGCAACCAGAGAAAAGCCTGGGTCCCGGGTGCCAGAGGGAAGCTGGTGCCTGCAGCTAGGGGAAGGCCTACTCTTGCATGAATTTCGTGCATCGGGCCTCTAGTAGTTTTATAATCTACCCAGTTATGAAAAATATGAAATTAAGCATAATACTAAGAACAGTATACAAAATGAACATAAATAGCTTTATTATCACCTATGCTCAATAAAAAATGAATATATAAGTGGATTGTGATGGTACTTCAAGAAGTAGGTTTTAATAATAAGTAAACATTACCACTAATGTCTATATATATTCATGACATTATCTTTTAAAATGAAGATCATTCTCCTAGTCTTCAGGTGAAGTTTTTTGTGGACTCCACTAAAATAGTACCATGGAATGAAAAGGCTGGGAAATAAGTAACTTGTAAAGAAACTGACATTTTCTTTTTCTTTTTTACTTACAATAAACTAATGAGTTTCTCTTTTGATTTTATTATTATTTAAAGATGTTTTTACTGATCTGAGGGAGAGGGAGAAAGAAAAACATCATTGATCAGCTGCCTCCTGCAGCCCCCTATTGGGGATAGAGCCAACAACCAGGCATGTGCGCCCTGACCAGGAATTGAACGAGTGACCTCTTGGTGCATGGGATGATTGATGCTCAACCAACTGAGCCACACCAATTGGGCAATGAGTTTCTCTTTATAGGGAAGGGTTTCTAATTCCAGTGCTAAAAGAACAATTCACTGAGTGTCAAGAAAATACCTTTCCAGCATAACCAAGAGCAGCGGGCGTAGCAGATTCCGGGACAGTGCTAACCAAATCTGCATCCACAGGTGCTTCAATTGCCAGCTGCTGACCACAACGGTATCTTACTGTGTAAACCATTTGGTCTGGAATGTTTGAAAAAGGAAATAGATTATTTTTACATAGTGTAACAGCCTAATAACTAAGAAACTAGCTTGTTAGAACTCTACAGATTGAATACAAAAAACAAAAAACAAAAAACAAGACATACAAAAACACTCAAGTGGAAATACATAAACTGGAGAATTCACTATTTTTTAAAAGGGACTTTCATGCATATCTGAAAATCATAATCCTGACTACTGAAAGGAAAACAACATCCAAGAGTCAGATGAAAAGAAAAAATTGTGATCTTACGACTTTTAGGCTCAGTGCCATATCCACAACATACAACTATGTGCCTTCAAAGAGCCAAATACGTGAATGCCTTTGTGCAATGAGATAAATACCAGATTTACATTGATAAAGGTATTTTACTTACCCTCAAATATGCTATCTGGTCTTGCAAAATAAACATATTCGAAGATACAAAAAGCCATTGGGTTTCCTTCAGACCTTGGTATAATATCAAGAGTTTGGACATTGTCTCTGGATATTTCCACTATTTCTCCAGGCAAGATTTCACGGTAATATCTTAGAAAATCATATTAAAGAAAGAAGACTTTAAATAAACTAGTTCTTAAGGCTTTTCATAACATATGTAGTCTCTTCCTTTGTAACGGAAAAATAGTTCGATTTAATATAAAGTCTAGAGATGGCTAAAAAAAATAAACAATATTCCTTCAGCAGTAATATCTGTAAATCTGTTACCCCTAAATTCTAACTTAGAATTAAAAAAAGAGAAAAGGCCGTAAGTTTTATTGATTTTTGAAAGAATAAAGGCTAAAAGAATATTATATTCTGGCTTAAATTTTTTTATCATAACTATTCCTTGTTGAGGAGAATTCTTCCTTTCTAAAATAAGTCTCATGGTGTTTTGAAAGCAAGATTATAGTTTCAGAATTACAAAGTATTACTGGCACATTAAAGTTAAAGTCAATGTAACTGCAGAGAACTATGCACGAAAACCCCTGCATTTCTAAGTATATGTTATAGATGACATCAAAAAGAAAACTTATGTAAAAATAAAAATTTTTGTTGATGTGGGAAAACCCGATATACTAAGTAAGATAAAACTTACCTTGCACCAATAGATAAAAAACTACAAGATTCTGAAGACACCACCCATCCTTCCGATTCTAAAGATTTTTTCTCTGTAAATCACAAGATAATCATTTCAGTTAAGAGACTCAAAAAATGTTAAAAGGGACTACCTATTTCAAGACAATTGAACACCAAGTAGATAAATAATAAAAAACCCATAGAATATCCATTTTTATGACTTTAAGAGCACATGAGTCTTCATTTAACTAGAACCAAAGATAAAATTTAATAATCCCAAGCCCTGGCCCTGTGGCTCAGTTGGTTGGAGCATTGTCCCGTACACTGAAAGGCTGCAGGTTCGATTCCCAGTCAGGGCATACCTAGGTTGTGGGTTCAATCCACAGTCGGGGCGCATCCAGGAGGCAACTGATTGATGCTTTCCTCTCACATTGATGTTGATGTCTCTCTCTCTCTTTCCTTTCCCCTCTCTCTAAAATCAGTACACATATCCTCAGGGGAGGATTTTTAAAAACATGAATGATCCCAAGATTCCTCCAAACATTATGTCTTCATGGCTCAAACAAGACATCTGCTAAGAAAATCACTGAAATCATACTACACAATTGAAAAAGTTGGGCAAAGGATATGAATAGGCAATTCAGACAGTTAAAAATAGAAATGTCCCTTAAATATTAAAAAGTGGCTCATCCTCAGAAATACTCAAGGAAATGCACTTTAAAAATAATTATCATTTTTTTCTTTTTCACCTAGTCCCTCCTCACTCTTAAGCTTCCTATATAGCTAATGATTTCAGGGTGTGCCAACAGAACAATGAAATTATATTCCTTCTGGAAGTTCATTACCTTTATTTTTCAAATCAGATACAGGAATAAGTCGACCAATGCAGAGAGGGCGATTTCCATAAGGATCTCGTACTGCATAAATGACATCTCTGTGCATTATAAGTAGGGAGTATGCTGTGGGCGCTTCCTTCATTAAGTTTTTAATCCTAGAATTAAATAATTGAATGAATAATTTCATTTATAAAAACATGCTAGGCAAAAAATCAACAACCACCAAAAAAAATGCCAGGCAAAGCTTTCATTATCAGAGCAGCAAGCTTAAATTTATTACCTTGCTACCCAGTCTGGAGTATCATCTTGTTCCTGAGGAGGGGTATATGCCAGTAACTGGGTAATCATTTCACTATCAGAACTTGTTGACAGACCAATACCATGGCGCAGGAGCTATTTAGAAGGCAGAAAAGAGCAATCATTAGAGAGGAAGCTCCACTGCACCCCCCAGCTATAGCCCACCATAATAGGAAGAGATAAGGCACTGTGTGGATCAGGGGTCCTCAAACTTTTTAAACAGGGGGCCAGTTCACTGTCCCTCAGACTGTTGGAGGGCCGGACTATAGTTTAAAAAAAACACTATGAACAAATTCCTATACACACTGCACATATCTTATTTTGAAGTAAAAAAACAAAACGGGAACAAATACAATATTTGTATTTGCATGTGGCCCGCGGGCCATAGTTTGAGGACCCCTGGTGTGGATGATCAGTTATGAAAATCCTGCCTTCTACTAATGGTATGTGTATATGATAATAGAGAACAATTGCTGGATGCAATTGGAAGTCTCTGAAGGTTTTCAAGCAGAAAAAAAGTGCTTTAGGAAGTGTATATAAAAGCTTTTGAAAGCTAAGTCGGAAGGAATGTAGAGCTGCAATGGGGGAGAGCTGGGAAGGCATGGGATTTGGGAATGTGGTACTAACTTTCTCAGCCCCTGACACTCCTGACAAATAGGACACATTCCCACAAGAGCGGCACACAATAGCGGGGACTCTCAAGTCAGGTTTGTTGGCTCACTGATTAGAAGAAAGGAATCAATTGTACTGAACAATTACATGTAGAAGATGTAATAAAGATTGGTTGAGTTCTGCTCACGGACGCTGCAGAGAAGTTATTCTCCATCACTGCTCAGCAAAATCATATATGCTCACTGCTTAATCATCACTTATACTTCTTCATTTCATTTTTCCAGTTTCCTTGCATTAGTATAGTGTCACTGGATTTTAAGAGCTTGTTTATGACTAAAGATGTTAATCATTTCTCATGCATTGCAAAATGAAATACCATGTTTTTTATTACTATTTTACTCTGGTGTTTTTCTTTTTGGTTGTATCAAACTTGTGTATTAAATATAATCATATTCTGTTTAAAATAAAATTCGTTGAGTACACTCAATGATGATCACGATGTTCTGAGAAAGACTGACCAGGACAAGGGCATCACCAATGTAATGCAAAGGCTGAGTTTATACAAACACTACAGAACATTTTCAGTAGCCAGCTGAACGTGCAGAGATAAAGTCTAGCATCTAGGTTATGGGGTTTTAAGGTTATGTCTAGCAATAATGACCTAGGTATTGAACCGAACTGTTAGTGTTTACCTCCAAGTGGTGAGTTTTTAATTAAACATTTATGCTTTCCTGATTTTCTGAATTAAAACATTATTTTTAAATTTGGGAACACAAAAACATACATAATATTATTTTTATATGAAATGCCAGAGCCCGAGAAGAGGGCAGGAAGGACAAAGCTCTGAGGAATAACTTAAGCTAGAATCAAAAATAGTAGGGCAGGTGGTACAGAAACATAGGTTCTATATATTTTCCATTCACAATTCACCATCATTCAGTTGCTGTAACTATTTATCCCATATGAATGCCTGATTCTAAGGAGATAATGGAGTTTGAGAGTGTGTATGCGTGCGTGCGTGCGTGCATGCGTGCGTGCGTGCGTGTGTATGTGTAACCTATTATTAAATACCCCTTGAGGTTTTTATTTCTGGGATTACCAAATCAAGATTATTGGAATCTACTGAACTAAAGAAACCTGGCATTAATTAATGAATGGCAAGAATGGATGAATATGAAGCTACCAGGAATATAAAAATACCAGGTACTTTTTAAAAAGGGGGGAGAGGGAGATGAAATGATGAATGAAGGAATAGGCACAAACAGAAAGCTTCAAAAACTGCCATGTGAACAAAACAATATAATTCTCTTTGCACTTTTCTCAGACTGATTCCTATAATTGTTTCCAAATCTCTTTTTCTTATATTTACCATATGAAAGTTTATATTCCATTTTTTTCTTAATGCTTTTAACACAGGGACAAAGCTAAAGTGATTGTAAGAGTCCATAAACCCTAATTTCTCTGTGCTTCTGATACCAGCTATAAGTCAAATTTTCCAAATCTCTAAAGTAGTACATCAGAATCTCCTTAGGAGCATATTAGGTGCAGGCTCAGCACCCCCACCCCAGGCTCTGGGGTGATATCTTGGAGTCTGTAATTATAGCAAGTACTCCAGGTAATTCTGATAGTTGTTCTTGCAGTTAGGTAATGGGTGGCAACAATTAGAAAACACTCTTTACCAAGATCCTCAGTAACTTCTTTTTATTAATTTACCGCAATCATGAAAAAGCGTTTTTTAAAAAAAACGTACCTTTTTCCTTAATCGAGCAGCGTTGACCAATTCGCCATTATGTGCCACAGCTATTTTCCCATGAAGTGTTTCAACAACAAAGGGCTGACAGTTTTCTAATTCAGAGTTTCCTGTGGTGGCATACCTCGTATGTCCAATTCCAAGATTTGAAGGATATAATTTCTTCAAATTATCTTCAGTAAAGACATGATTTATAAGACCCATTCCCTTGCAAAGTCAAAGTAAAAGCTCATCTTAGAAAAAAACACAAAAACAAACTATTGGGCTAGTGAGTAGAGGCTTTAATAAGCCTCTGCTCAAGCACCCCCAAGTTAGACAATGCAGTCTGTGTTTCGGAATTCTAATCTTAAAAATAGATGAACCTAATTATAAGAACTGTATAGCACTAAAAAAAATTTTTTTGAGGTGGAATTCACATAATAAACTAACCCCTGTAAAGAAAACCATTCAGTGGCATTTAATACATTCACAACGTTGAAATGCTTGTTTCATGAGATACTTTTTGTTGAAACATTGAAGGACAGGTGTATTAAATAATAAAACTTGTCAAATATAATGAACTAAATTATTTGCATTTTAAAAATTCAAAGCATCTTAAATGACCTGTTTGTGTCAGTCTAGCAAACTATCACTGGGAAAGAAATGCATCCTAAGTTGACAAATAGAAAAGATTGATATAAAGAGTAACTTCTATGTGCAAATTATTTATTCAAATTTCCTTCTCCCACCCCCATATACTAGCTAACATCTGGCTACTGTTATCTTTATAATCCGCTTTTTAATGTTTAAATATACCTTGTGTGTTCTGTATGTCGGTACTGAATTCCCATCACTGACGACAATACCAGCACTCTCCTGACCCCTGTGAAAATAAAAAAGTATCAACTTAAATTTACCCCATTGATATGGTTAATAAACTTTATGAAACATCCTTTTCACAAAAGAATTGAAGTCAGTCTGACAACACATTAAATGCTACTAGTACTGCCCGGCCGTCATGGCTCAGTGGTTGAGCTTTGACCCATGAACCAGGAGGTCACTGTTTGATTCCCAGTCAGGGCACATGCCCAGGTTGCGAGCTCAATTCCCCAGTATGGAATGTGCAGAAGGCAACCGATCAATTGTTCTCTCTCACCATTGATGTTTATCTCTCTCTTCTTCCCCCTTCCTCTCTGAAATCAATAAAAATATATTTTTTAAAAATACTACTAGTACTGTCACTTCTATTCATGACAATGATGACGATGATTATCAGTAATATGATATTGTCTGACTTTTAACATGCCAGACACTGTCCTAAGCATTTACATGAATGATCTAACTTATTAGACTTTCACAATAATACTATGAAGTAGGTACTGTGATTCCCATTCCCATTTTACAGATGAGGACACTGAAGAAACAGAAGTTAGATAACTTGCCCAGTGAACAAAGAAAGCAGTGGCACAGCCAGGAGTAGAATACAGACACTCCGACTCCAGTACTTGTGCTTCTAACCTCTGTCCTGTGTGACCTCTAAATAGGTTGAGTGTGTGGATGAGTACATGGATATAAATTAAAACTTCCAAATAACATAGCAAGTAAAATGCTTAGTTGTGGTACTGGAATTATAAGCAAAATTTACCTTAATGCTTTCCTGCATTTTCCAAATTTTCTCTAACAAATAACACTTTTGTTTTTAGAAAAAAATGTTTTTTAAAACCCTCAGGCAATCTGTATCTCATTTCGAACGATATTATAAATATCCAAATGGCCCTTGGCATGAAAAAGGTTCCCCACCCCCAGTAGAGGATCTGCACCACTTTGGAGTACAAACTCAAAATGATAAAATAAAGCTTATAGCACAGCTGGTGTGGCTCAGTGTTTGAGTGTTGAACTATGAACCAGGAGATCACCATTTGATTCCCTGATTCCCCAGGTTGAGGGCTTGATCCCCAGGGAGGGGGGCGTTCAGGAGGCAGCTGATCAAGGATTCATTCTCTCTCATCACTGATGTTTCTCTCTCTCTCTCTCTCTTACTCCCTCTCTGAAATCAATAGAAAGATTTTTTTTTTTTTTTTAATTTTAGCCCTAACCGGTTTGGCTCAATGGACAGAGCATCTGTCTGCAGACTCAAGGGTCCCAGGTTCAATTCCAGTCAAGGCCATGTACCTTGGTTGCAGGCACATAACCAGTAGGCAGTGTGCAGGAGGCAGGTGATCGATGTTTCTCTCTATTCCTCTCCCTTCCTCTCTATAAGAAATCAATATAATATATTTTTTAAAAATGTTTTTTAAATAAAGCTTCTAATTACTCAATAATTTTTAATGATTCTCAATAAGAGCTCTACATACTAGATGTTTATTAACAATTTTTTTCTAGAGAATATGTATCAGTGTAAAATACAAAGTAAATGTCTACCATATATTTATGCATACATTAATAATACATTAATTTATTTTGTGAAGAGAATCTTTTTCACAATTACATACTGTAATTGTTTAGGCATTTTAATAACAAAAATTACATTAAGTTACTTGCAGAGTAAAAAAAATCTAAAAAATTAAAATTATTTTACCAAATTATCAATACATTAAATACTATGCTGAAAATAGATATGCATAAGATTATATACCCCAACATACTGAATAATTTGTGACTTAGGATTTCTTTCTTTAGTGGTCTTTAAGTTAATGATACCAGAAGACTGAGAGATTCATATCAGAGGAAAAATAATTAAGGTTAGCCATAAACCTTAGGGCAGAAAGAATCTCTGCCAACCATTCCCAGAACAATTTTTTAAAAATCAGTAACATTTAGTGAACCAGATTAAATCATGTAAGAAACTAAATCTTTAAACAAAATGGTTTTTTTTTTAAAAAAAAAAAAAATGGCTTGGCTCAGTGGACAGAGCGTCGGCCTGCAGACCAAAGGGTCCCGGGTTCAATTCCAGTAAAGGGCACATGCCCGAGGTTGCGGGCTCAATCCCCAGTAGGGGGCATGCAGAAGGCAACCAATCAGTGATTCTCTCTCATCATTGATGTTTCATTGATGTTTCTATTTCTCTCTCCCTCTCCCTTCCTCTCTGAAATAAAAATAAAAATAAAGAAATGGTTTCCTTCCCTTTTGTCTCAAGGGTAATTTTTCCCTAACAGCTGAAAGGAATAATGTTTGGAATCACTTAGGTCCTGGAGTCTTTTATTACAAATTCCAGTTTAATGCAGTTTCTTAAATTGCTCCCCTCAGGCAGTTTGAACCAGTTAAAATAGATCATTTCAGCTCTTTGGAGCTTATTGAAAGGAGTTTTCTGGTTACCTTGGAAACAAAACCATGGCTAGAAATAGTGAATCATTTGCAGGTCACTTTCAACATGGAGAGAGGAGCAGGAAAGCACTGGACTGAGGAAGAGTGTCTGGAGTGAAATGATCTAGTTTAACGGGCCTGCTTATACCTTGTGACACTCATGGACTCACATTCTACCAGGTCCTGGGCAGGGATCCCAGGGTCAGGTCTGGAATCTTGGGGGCTGGAGCTGGGGGAGTTGATGGCCGCCTGCACCTCCCTCTCACCTGGTGCTCAAGAGGGGCGCTGCTCCGGCTGGGGCTGCAGATGCCTTGTCCCACCCCACCGCCTCCCAACGCTGGGTCAGCAGCCCCCTGCGCCCCCAGGCTGCCTCCGCCTCCTCAGGCCATGTTGCGGAGCCACCCTAGGGCTCAGGGCGGGCCAGGCGGCCAAGCAGACTCACAGACCCCAGTGCTGCCACCTCTCACCATCAGTTTCTTAAATGTTTACCACCTGTCTGCTGTAAAGTCTGAAGGTGAAAATTGCTAAAGCCACTTATCCTTACTCTCCTTTACATGTATCACAGTAAGGTTAGTTCTTATTTACAACTAGAGGCCCAGTGCATGGATTTGAGCACCGGTGACCTGGCCTGCGGGGATCAGCCAGAACCGGCTCTCTGACATCCTGCAGGGGTGCAGAATTGCAAGAGGCTGGTTCTCAGGTAATGCACCCAGGAATCAGGCTCCCTCCTCTGGTTTTTCACCCGAGAACTATAGCTGTTAAGTCACCACAGCTTGGCGGCCCCTGTGTTGAGTGTCTGCCCCCTGGTGGTCATTGTATGTCATAGTTACCAGCCAGTCAGCTGATCACCTAGCCTTTTATATATATACTAGAGGCCCGGTGCACAAAAATTTGTGCACGGGGGGGCGGGGGGTCCCTCAGCCCAGCCTGTGCCCTCTCACAGTCTGGGACCCCTTAGGCTCCCCGGGGGATTGGGCCTAAGATGGCAATCAGACATCCCTCTGGCAGCCTCGCAGCCTCGGGGGATGCCCACTTGCCAGGAGGGAGCAGACCTAAGCTGCAGTCGGACATCCTTAGTGCTGCTGAGGAGGCAGGAGAGGCTCCCACCACCACTGCTGTACTGGCAGCCATCAGCCTGGCTTGAGGCTGAGCAGAGCTTCCCCCATGTGAGAGCGCACTGACCACCAGGGGGCATCTCCTGCATTGAGCGTCGGCCCTCTGGTGGTCAGTGTGTGTCATAGTGACCAGTCATTCGCAGTCCTTCTGCTGTTAGGGTCAGTTTGCATATTACCCTTTTACTATATAGGATAGAGGGCTGGTGCATGGTTGGGGGCCGGCTGGTTTGCCCTGAATGGTGTCCCGGATCAGGGCAGGGGTCCCGCTTGGGTGCCTGGCCAGCCTGGATGAGGGGATGATGGCTGTTTGCAGCTGGTCACACCCCCTTCAGGGTGGGGGTCCCCACTGGGGTGCCTGGACAGTCTGGGTGAGGAGCTGAGGGCTGTTTTCAGGCTGGCGGGTGACTGAAGCTCCCAACCTCTCCTTTTTTTCTTTTTAATTCTGGGATTTATTTACCTTCTATGGCTGTCACTGGAGCTGAGAG